TGGGGGGGTTTGTTGAGGCTTCTCAATTGAGATGATTCAGTATAGATGGTTGTTTGGATTCAATTAACAAGGCAACATTTAAAATCATATTAGCAAATGGTAATATATTTAACATTGCAATATGCGTGCAGGTCTCTTAAATTCCGATTTTGTACTCCTGCAGCAGTGCCGTCTGATGCGGTTATGTATCGTGAATCTGAAACAAAGACATAAATACCGTGATGTTGCATTGTCAGTGTCGAGTAACTTCTTGTGTATTCGGACAACTCTTGGCTACTGGGGAGTTTATGCTAGTCTCCAATAGGATATGTAGTTAAGGATGTGGCTCTTGTCTGAACTTCCTTTTTTTCATTTCCTAATGGTATGTGATTTTTATTTTTTCAAGTAAGTTGTGTGCTCTAAAAAGCATTTGGAATTGGGACTTCGGAATGCCTAATTGTTGCAAAAATTGGCCTTTTGATGAAGCTTGCTAAGGTTGGAGGGGAAAAAAAATCTAAATCACAATGTATGTATAGGGCAAACTATGAACGCCCCCTAAATTTGACTAGTTTTAATTTGCCCACTAGAAGGCGTTTGTAATATTTACACTGTATTAGATAGTTGCTGGCTTTGGCTCATTGTGATTTGCATTCCCAACTTCGTGAGCCAATACTGCTGTACTAGCTATGGTCATGGCAGCCATATTTTGTTGGCTCTCTTTGAAAAATAATTTTATTATTGGAAAAATTATTTCCTAGAAAGATTAGTGAAGCTTCAAGTAATATGTATTGTGATATGATAATTATGTATATCAAAGAAATAATGAGAATAAAGAGGAGAGATACAAACACAATTTATAGAGGTTTGATACAACCCACTTGGCTTACATTCTCTCTTCATCCTTCTCCCTGGAGTCTTTTTTCACTAACTTGGTCCTCTTCAATGGGTGATAGTTAAACCTTTACAACCTTCTCCTTCTTGATACAAATTAGTCTTCCACTTTTGCTCGACTCAAAAAGAATAAACAACACACTCTATCTGTAAATGTTTCTCACAATACAAGAATCTCACTAAGCACAAGAGAGGAAGAGAATAGAAAGTTCTCTGGAATCTCTTTTTGCAAGATCAAGACAAATGAAGCACTATTCTCTTTTATTTTTGCTCAAGTGTTAAAAGGCCAAAAAGTTTTATTCAGGCTCTTTTTCCTCCTATTTATACTTCGGGCATATTAAATGAGAGAAACAACATCTAATTTCAAAATCTTGAGAAGATTTGGAAGAGTGCCGGTCGATTGGTAGGCTTCCGGATGTTACCATTAGAGCTGCAATTGGTGACATATAGATTTCCGGTCCGCCTTCTTCCCTTCCATTGCCTTTGTTCCATATCATTCGAACTTTTGGAAAGTACCACCTGTCGTACGGTCTGGACTTCTAGTAAGCACCTCCGGTTATCTGGAAGTTGTTTATGTTACATTTTTTGCAGTAGACTTTTGCCTTCATTCTTTCACCCTTTTTCTTTTCTTTTAACCAATCCAACAATTAGTTCCCATTAGGGTATTTGTTATCATCAAAATCATGCTTAACAAAGCATTAGGTCAACATTCTCTCTCCTTTTAGTGATGACAAACATCCTTAAAGAAATAAGCAATATGCATGTATTTTAATTTTGCTCCGCTTGAGCACATTGGGATTATCAAAAATACGATGAACCATTACCAATAACTTGACACGAGTAGAGAATATCTATTACACACAAATTTTATTGACCATTCAACGATGCATATATTGGAATATCTTGAGACATTAATGAAGATATATAGTTTACATATCCCAATGATAGTGAGACATATTGGAAATGTAAGTTAATTTTCAACCAATCATGATAGAAACATTCATAATTTCAAGATTAGTTATCTATAGAGCATTGGAATGTCATAATCAACCATCTCATAGATATTGAAAACCCCAAGAAAGGTTTAATGATAATTTAATATATCGAAACACATTCATCATAAACTTAATATTTAAAGTTATCAACTTCCAAATAAAAAACAAAGCATTCATCATCCACACAATTCAACATTGTCATCCTAAATGAGACTAAAATTCTTAGAAGTAAGGAGAAGAGCGATATTCCTAGCAACTATCATATATAGGAAGGAGGTGGTCCACAAAATATTGATATGAGAAAGTTTGTGATGCCATCAACTTTGGTGTGAACTCAGACATCTGAGTAGGTAGATACAGTAACGTTTTGGAGAGGCTTAGATCTCGCATGGTCACATAATGTATTGACGTGTTTGTTGGAACGATAGTTCCAAGATTCATTGATGGCGCTCGTATAATTAAATACAAATATTTATTCATATGTTAACCCTACAAGTCGAAATTAGGGTTTACCTTTGATGAGTTGAATAACACGAATGAAGATAGATGTAGATTGAATAGTAGGCTCAATGGACGTCAAGATCTTCTACCGTATGTCATTTTACGCCAAAATTCGAATGCAGTGTGGACTGCAATCTTCTAAATTTTCTCCCTCTCTCTCTACACCTCTTCTAAATGTGATGTAAAGTATATGGTTGAGAGAACTAGAGAGTACATATATTTATAGGCTGCAATAGAAACTTTAAGGAGAAATAATGACCGGACTTCAAATGNCTACCTCTTCTAAATGTGATGTAAAGTATATGGTTGAGAGAACTAGAGAGTACGTATATTTATAGGCTGCAATAGAAACTTTAAGGAGAAATAATGACCGGACTTCAAATGGGCCTAGAAATCTTATATCCAACCCACCTATTGTTGATCTCTCGGTCCTTATCTCAAAATTATATTTTGAACTCCTTGTTATTATATGTTTTTATGTTATGTTATATTAGGGTGTAACCCTTAAAGGTATTTTTAGTATTTTATGGTTGTATATATAATGGGGATGTAGTTATGTAACCCTAACACACTAGTCTCTTCACATTAATCTTATCTTCTTCCTCTCTTATTCTTCTTCTCTCATGATACAAATCCTAACGACTTCAAAATCTAACTTGGTATTAGAGCATTGAACCAAATTTATAGTCGAAATTCATCGGAAATCCACTGCGTAGTCAATAGTGTTTTTTGTCAAGTTCTGACAGGCTAATGTCAACATCAAACATGTCAAAAAATTTCAAAAAAATTATAGACATATTTGATTGAAGCTTATGGGAATATTGGTTATTTTTTGCAAAATTTTTTGAAGTTGTTTGGCTGGTTTTTTCAATTTTTGAAGTTTTTCCTGGTTTAAAGTTGTCGAGGGCGATATTTCCAATTTCAGCCCAATTTGTTGTTTGTTTTTCGATTGATTCTTCTTGGTGAGGTTCGACTGGGAGTGATCTGGACTACCCATCCAGTTTTGTTGCATTTGGATGGATTTCTAAAGTTTATTAGCTAAAACTGAACCGTTGGCTGCCTATTCTTGCGTTTTTCCACTATTGGGACTTCTTTTTTGCATCTGGTCTGTTTTGTCTTGGGTGGGTGTGAAAAGTATAGACCTTGAATACCCATGAGGAAGTATTGGGATTAGATCAGATTTGAGAGGTTTTTTGGCAACTTTTCAGCTTCAGTTACTATTTCGGCTATAGTTCCAGACCCTCTGGTTATGCGTGAGACCCTACTTCTACTGNTCATATGCTCCTTGGATAATAGATTCTAGAGCCACGGACCACATGACAGGTTCCTCTAGTCTTTTCTCTCCACACATTACATGTTCAGGTAAGGATAAAGTCAAGGTGACAGATGAATTTTTATCCTTAATTTTTGGGAAAGGTTCAATTAATTGATCACCCACTCTATCTCTCTCTTCTTTCCTCCATGTTCCTAATTTCTCCACAATTTATTGTCTGTTAGTAGTATTACTAAATCCTTGAATTGTTTAGTGGCGTTTTTTTCTACTCATTGTATCTTTTTGGAATTGGAATCGGGAAAAACGATTGGTAGTGGTAGAACACATGGTGCTCTTTATCTCCTAAACAATAAAGCTTCTCTTCAATCCACTTTTCAAACTTTCCAGACAAATGGTGTTCCAACCCTTTAGCTCTTACATCAGTGACACATACATTTAGGGCATCCTCTTGACGGATGGCCATCAACTGCTCAAGGTCAATATGGGAGAAGGGACCTTTTGATGGATGGCTCAGGAGCTCAAGGAACCAAGGAGATCTCATGAAAAGGCAAAACCTACCGGTATAATCAATGCCATACCTATCGGTAGAATCCATGCAAAACCTACCGATACGATACTTAAGACCTACCAGTAGAAAATCCCACTAGAGAACTTCTATCTCTGCCCGGCCAAAACATACTAGTAGGAAAGCCTACTGGAAAAAACCTACCGAAAGGTTACCCACGACCTACTGGTAGAACATGGCCAAAAAGCCCAAACATTTCTCCACACGATTCCACNCCATATGCTCCTTGGATAATAGATTCTAGAGCCACGGACCACATGACAGGTTCCTCTAGTCTTTTCTCTTCACACATTACATGTTCAGGTAAGGATAAAGTCAAGGTGACAGATGGATTTTTATCCTTAATTTTTGGGAAAGGTTCAATTAATTGATCACCCACTCTATCTCTCTCTTCTTTCCTCCATGTTCCTAATTTCTCCACAATTTATTGTCTGTTAGTAGTATTACTAAATCCTTGAATTGTTTAGTGGCGTTTTTTTCTACTCATTGTATCTTTTTGGAATTGGAATCGGGAAAAACGATTGGTAGTGGTAGAACACATGGTGCTCTTTATCTCCTAAACAATAAAGCTTCTCTTCAATCCACTTTTCAAACTTTCCAGACAAATGGTGTTCCAACCCTTTAGCTCTTACATCAGTGACACATACATTTAGGGCATCCTCTTGACGGATGGCCATCAACTGCTCAAGGTCAATATGGGAGAAGGGACCTTTTGATGGATGGCTCAGGAGCTCAAGGAACCAAGGAGATCTCATGAAAAGGCAAAACCTACCGGTATAATCAATGCCATACCTATCGGTAGAATCCATGCAAAACCTACCGATACGATACTTAAGACCTACCAGTAGAAAATCCCACTAGAGAACTTCTATCTCTGCCCGGCCAAAACATACTAGTAGGAAAGCCTACTGGAAAAAACCTACCGAAAGGTTACCCACGACCTACTGGTAGAACATGGCCAAAAAGCCCAAACATTTCTCCACACGATTCCACCAACAACGGGGCCCCA